TGTTATCAGTGTCAGAGGAGCCAGCTCTGCCCCTGTGCAAGTCTGAACAGGGAACCTGCAAGGCAGAGCCTGGAGAGGGCTGTGGAGCCAGGGCTGGAGAGACCTGCACTGAGAGATTGCCAGAGATAAACCTGCTTGCTGCTTCCCTCTTCCCTCCAGAGCCACGGTGTGCAGGAGGGGAGAGCTGGCTGTGGGCATGCAGCCTGCACCAGCTGCAGGTGCTAGCAAATACAGGGCTGTTAGGGCATACTCTAGGGCAAGGAGAAGCAGTGCGTGAAAAATCAGTGTTCAGGAGGTCTGGGGGAAGGTGGTTTTAATGCAGAGCCTTTGGGATGCTGCTGGGGGTGCAGTTTGAGTTTAAATCAATGTCCAAGGGTGGTTTTAATGCAGAGCCCTTTGGAGGGTCCTGGGGGTGCAGTTTGTGTAATTCAATGCGCCAGAGTGGTTTTAATGCAGAGCCTTTGGAGGGTCCTGGGGGTGCAGTTTGTGTAATTCAATGCCCCAGAGTGGTTTTAATGCAGAGCCTTTGGAGGGTCCTGGGGGTGCAGTTTGTGTAATTCAAGGGTGATTTTAATGCAGAGCCTTTGGGAGGATGCTGGAGGTGCAGTTTTGTATAATTCAATGCCCCAGGGCTGCTGTGGAGATAGAGCCAGCACCTCTGGCAGTGGGGGCTCCTGGAGGGGCTCTGGGGACCAGCACAGTGCACACTGCAGCATCCTGGCAGCACTTAAAGCTGATTTGGGTGTGCATGCACATTCTGCATTCCCTTTGCTCTGATAAATACAGTGTGGTGTGAGCAGATCTGCCTTCCCACTGCTGTCATAGGGAAATATTTGCTTGCTCACCTCCAGTTTTCATGGAAATTGTCTTCAATACAAACTGAAGGCTGTTCAGCAAGGTCCTTTTAGCAATCTTCTGTCTTATTATTACTTGAAACAAAGGTTAAAAATGAAAACTGAAACAGAAATTATTTTTAGGTGAGGTATTAGTAGCTCGGAGGACATAACTGAACTCAAATTGTAATATTTAAAACATAATCAATTTCAAATGTAGAGAACTACTTCAAGGGTTAGAAACAGTGCATTCAAGTGGCCAAACTAAGAGCAACACTGGCAACAATTGTGTGAGCTTGTGCCACTGGGATATGAAGGAAAATGAGCTCCTGCTTTAGTCTTCCTTTACAACACACAGGCTGCTGCTGCCCATGTTTTCCTCGAGCAGGAATATGTGCTGAACAGGCAGCAAAGTTCCCCAAAGCTAGTGGATGTGGAGGATGTGGAGCTGGGGCTGGCAGTGCCTCACTGGGAGTGGAAATTATCTCTTACAAGGGGTGGCCATTGCCAGCAGTGGCAGCAGCCCATCAGAAACAGCAGGGACGTGTCCAAGGATGCTCTCTAGAGAAAACAGTTCTGAGCAAAATGTTGAAAAAGGACTTATTCTTTGTATGTTTTGATCCCTTGTTGTTTTTGAAGCAGCAGTAGGGACTGGGGGCTTTTCTTCCTCTGGGTTTTCTCTCAAGGTGTGCCCTGAGGAGAAATGGGCAGCTCTGAAACTGTGACTCTGGTCTTTGGAAGTGGGAGTGGAGGGTGTGTTGAGAAGGAATGAATAATCCAGAATGATCCCTTCCCTCCTGATGCTTGTCTCCCCCAGGTTTGTGCATGGGAGGATCAGGAATTCTGGGTCTGAGCACCAGGGCTTTGCACTAAAAGTAATTTGTGGGGCTGTTACATTCTGACCCCAAAGGAAACTCCACCAATGGAGCATGGCAGAGATGAGGCATGTGGGGATACTCTGTGCTGCTGTAAGTTTTATTTACAGAAGGAGTTTATTGCCTGTTTTGCACCCCTGCCTCTCATTGTCCTTGTTTGTGAGAGCATGACTCTGAGATTAGCACAGGGAGGACCTCGCTCTTCTAGAGTTACTAAACAAGCACTGAGGGCTGAGTTTTTAGATTAATCTGTTTTCACTGCAAAAAGTGGTTCCTGGAGGAGATTTGATTTCAAGCCGTCTGTGGTCCTTGGGCTTCCCATGCATCAGGAGGCCTTGGCTGGAGGTGTTAGTGAGGAACTCCTTCCCAGGGCTTCTGGGCACACTTTTCCTGCAGCAGGATGTTAGCAGGGATCCCTGGGAACTTCCCATTGCTCTGCTGAGCTCACACTGCTCCTACATGGGCACCACTGGCAGCACAGAGATGTCCTTTGGTGGCACAGGGTTTCTGTGCCCAGGAAGAGCCCTTCATCAGCATCTTCACACAAATTCCATAATCCTCTTTCTGATTATTTACACACTGTACAGAGGATTTGGATATGCCAGTCTCATTTTGGTGCAGCCTGATTTTCCTGTTTATTCCTCCCTGAACTGACAGCTGTAGGAGCTGTGTCTTTCCTCAGGGTGGGCACAACCTCAGTCTGGGTCTGGTGCTTGTGGATGCTACAGCACTGCCCATAAACAACTGCAGGAGGAACCCTGGCCTCGTGCCTCTGGACACCTCTGTCACTCTGGGACTGCTGCTTGGCCTTACAACTTTATCAGCCTCTTTAGGACTTGGAATTGTGCCTTTCTGAGGAGGAAATGTCCACACTGTGGACGCAGTGGTGCCAAATCATTTCCCCAAATGACTTCCCCTCTGGGTGGTAAAGTGCATTTTTCTGTTTTGTTTTCATTCCATCATGTTCTGTACCTCAAGAGAAAGATTACCCCCCCCACCCCCATTTACAGTTTGGTTTCCATATTGTTTAGTTAAAGAGAAGGTAACTTCATACACTGTGGAAATGTTTCCTACTCCCCATTAGTGATTAATACCAATAAAGCCAAAATGAAACTTAGAGGATAAATGACAGATAGCAACCAATGAGATTTCCTGAAAGAGTTTTAAAAGCTAATGATCCTTGAAATGTATAAAAATAAATTGCTTCATTAAAAACCATTTTACAAAATAATTTCTTCCTAGCAGCATATTTTCTTCAAAACAGTTCCCCCATGTAACTACACCTGGGCAGTAAAATTTGATTCAGTGCTGCTCCTATGGGGCCACAGTGAAATGCCCTGATTATGTCTGTGTCCCTGCGCCTCATCAGGGGAGCAGGTTTGGGGCTGAAAATGAGAGACATGTTCAGGGCAGGCCTGTTGGAGTTTTTACTTTGTGCCCTTGTTTGTGGGGCAGCAACAAGAATGTTTAATATGAGTGACAGAGTTCTCTGTAATGGGCACAGGGCTGGTGAGTCACACATGGCTGCAGCCACAGCCATTCTGCTCTAATTAAAGAGAGCTTCACCAGGAATGTGCAGTAATTAGCTTGGTGTGTAGTGCACCACCCATGTCAGCAGTGTCTGCCACAAAGGTTGATTGAAATGTGCTCACCCTCCTGCACTGTGCTCCCTGTTGGAGCTCCTCATTGCTGTGCTGTCATGCAACAGCAGGAGCCACAGAAATCTGCAGAGAATTAGAGCAGATTTGCTCAAACTCTGTTTGACTGGGTGGGTTTCCTCTGCTGAAGTCACACACCATGCTAAGGCAAGGCAGATTAACACATCAGAATGAGATCCCTGACCTACTGAAGATGAATTAACAGCAAAAAGAAAATTCTGTTGTGGGAATGTGGGCTTTTCCAAGTTGTCTGCTGCTGTTCAGTTTGAACAGGCACAATGCTTTTGTGCTGTGACTGTTTATCAAATTAAATACAGATTGTTTTTGCTTCTGTTTTTGAGCTGTTTGATGAATGAGAAAATGCAGTGCTGGTAACTTTGTTTGCATCCACGTGTTTCTGTGCTCTTGCTGTGGATTTAGGAGCAAGGCTGGTTGTCTGGGGGCAGGAGGGGTGGTTGGCTGCCTTGGTGGGGCAGTGAAGTGACAGCCCTTCCACAGGCTCAGTGCTGCCTCAGCTGGGGAAAGCATTCATTTTCTAGGGTGAATTAACCAAACTCACTTGAGTAGAGCTGCAGGTAGCACCATCCCCCTCCAGTGGAATTCTCTAAAGGTTTTGTCACTGGGTGTGAGAAAGTTCAGTTGTCCTTATGAAGGTGCAGGAGGTATTTTAGAGCTGCCAGCACATGCATCTTCACATTCAGTGGTTTAAAAATGCCACAGGCAGCCAGAGCTTCTGCACCATGTCCTTCCCTTCCAGGAGGCAGATTCAGGAGGGGCTGAATCAGACCCACAGGTGCTTGGGCTGGGAGCTGCTGGGACAGGAGAATCACAGGGAGCAAATAGTCAGGGCACGGGGGGCATTGCCATTCCCAGCACCAGCTGCAGTGACAGATGAACTTGTCCTGAATTTGTGCTGTGGCTTGTATTCTTTTCTTTTCCTTTTTTTTTTTTTTTTTTTTTTTTTTTTTTTAATTTTATGTTATTTGGTTTTTTTTAAGCAATGTTATAATTTGGTGTTGCTGCCATTGGGGCTGCAGTTGAGGCTCTGCAAGGCTGCTGCCCTGAGCAGCAATAGTTATATTGGACAAGGATTTTACTGTGTTATTTAGCATGGGGCTGTTTTAACCCTGCTCACGCTGGTAAATAAGTAGGCAGCAACTTATTTACCAGCCTGAGCAGAGTTATGGAAATGGAAATGGAATTGTTGCTTTGAAGGAAAAGTCAGGAAAGAATCACCCTCTGAATGTTGTGTTGCTGGGTAATACCCCCAAACCAGTCACTACTGATGCTACTGGAAATCAATTTTTTGTCTAAACTACTGAAGCAATTCTTGCATAGTTTCAGGTGTTTAGAGGAGCTTTGTGTCATCTGAAGTGTGTGGGCTGTCAGTGGTCAGGGGGAGTCACAGACATCCTTCAAAGAACAGAATTTGTTTATCTAGGAGAGCAAAAGAAAGGATGGGAAAATCATGTTAATGTTAAAATACACTTGGGAAGTAAAATTACTTTAATAAATGTATCTTAGAAATAGGAATGTGTAGATCCTGGGTTTGGTCTAAGATCTCCCAGCCCCCACACCTCTCCCCAAAAAAGAAAATCAAAGTGAATGAAAAAAAGTTGATTTTCCCCTGACAGGACACCACAACCTCTGTGAGGATAGGTCTCATGATGGAAGAAATGATCTTCAACCTTGCAGATACACATCTGTTCTTCAATGACCTGGAGGTACGTGGCTGCTTATTTTATTTAACATCTTTCTCTGTAATCATTTGCATGTGGTCTACAAACTTGGGGGCTTTGGCCAAGAAACTTTTTATTTTGACCCCAGAGAGGTGGACCTTAGTTGGCTTACTGGAAGCATCACTTTGACACTTCCATTGTGTTCAGGATTTCTTTTTTCCTAAATAGTCAGTTAACAATGATGGCTTTTTGCAGGTTTACTAAATTATTAAATTTACTAAATTTAATAATTTGCAGATTTATTAAATTATTACTAAATGTAATAATGAGGACATTGCTGTTGCTTCTCCTGAAATTTGCTATTTGATAATTTTATTTAGCTAAATTAGCATAGATCCTATGGGGGCAGGCAGCAATTTGCTATGAGCCACAGCAGATGTTTTGAAAATGTTGCTTTGTTCTTGAGGAAGGTTTTGCAGAGACAGAGCAGGAGGTTCTGCTCAGGATCAGGAATACTGCAGGATGAAATTATGGGAGTTTCAATGTAACAGAACAAGAGGAAGAATTTTTCCTGCTGGTGACATGGATAGACCTGACTCTCTCTCATACAAAGCAAAAATCCTTTAGAGTGTGTGGTAAAAGCAGGCGAGGTGATGCTGGCAGGATGCTGAGGAGCAGCAGGGGTGGAAATGTGCTGGAATTTGCAGCCAGAGCACTCAGCTGAACGGATCAGCACAGGGTGATGAGGTGGGGATTGAGCTCTGGGCACCTGGAATCAAAACCCTGCTTGGAGGCATTTGGAGAAGAAAAACGTGGCATCCCTGGGCAGACTTCTGTGGTTTTGGTTTGGTTTTTTTTTTTCCCTTCACTTGAAAAAGGAAGAATTTGTTTCTGTGCCAGATGAAAGGAGAGAACTTTTTCTGTGCCTGAGGAGTTGAGTGGGAATTTGTGGTTCCTCCAGGGCTCGGTTGCAGTGTGGTCCCCTCTGTCAGGGCAGGCACAGCCTTTCCTGCCCCTGGCTCCTGCAGCCCTCAGGTGTCACTTGCTGGGAATTATTTCCTTTTAAAGACAAGCACCTGAACTGACAGATTTTTTCCTCTTTCAAGTCTTTTCATAGGGAGAGTTTGTGATGAGGGCATAGAAAGTACAAAGTAAAATCTTTCTCTTAGGGATAAAAAATATAGAGCTCCTCTTTGGTAGCCCGGGGCATTATTTAAGTAGTGATAATATTTGCTACAGAACCATCACCTTTCACCCATCAGATCTCAATATGTGATGCAACAAAACTCCATGTCCTGCACTGTGACCCTACAAAACCCCTCTACCTTTTAGACTTTTGCAAGTTTTAAAATAAGTTTTCTCCTTTTTCACTCACTGCCCTAAAATTTTAAATGAAGCAGCAAATTGTCTGGCCTTCATCAAATTGTGCACATTTGTCACTCAGTAACAGCTCTGGGCACTGGTGGTTTGGTTTTAGCTGAGCTTTTTCAATTAAAAATTGATGGATGATGGAGAATTAAAGAAAAGTAAATGTGCCTTACAGAATTTTGCTTTCCAAAAAAGCCATGTTAGTTTGGAAGAATATGCAGCAACAGAGTCACCCAGAGTTACCCACCCTACTCCTTCATTTAGGATGATAAATAAAAGCCACCTTTGTGTATTCACAGAGTGGTATTTAAGGATCATACATCACTGAGTACTGGGCTTAAAAAATGCAGTGAATGACATCCTTAAAAATGAAAAAAAGGGATTTGTAAAAACCAGCAGAGGAATAGATTCAGTTGTGGCCCCACAAGCATTACCATGTACATTAGCACCATCATGTGGTGCAGTGCAGGTCTGTACCACACAAAATGAGCTGGAACTGCTCAGGGCAGAAACCATTTCTGAGCATCTCTTGTGCTACAGCTGAGAGAGCAGTGGGAGAGTTTCCCACCTGAAACCACAGCAGGAATTCTCTGAAACACAAAAATGCTTCTCTGGCACAAATCCAGGTTCAGCCATTCTGGGGGGGTCCAGCAGACTGGAATAACCAGAGCGGGGCTGGCCCAGAACTGACAGTGGAACAAGGGGAAAGAGGGGAGAAATGTCACCCATCCTTTCCAGAGAGGCAGGCTGGACAAGGAAATCAATTCCCTTGCCTTGGCACAGGGGAATGGTTTGTTCTGCTGGCTGCAGTTTGCAGTGCTGTGCAGAGGAAAAGGTGCTGCCAGGGTGCAAAGCCCTTCTGAAACATTCCCAGAAGTGCCTGATGAGGACAAAACATTTGTCCATAGGTACAGCAAGGTTTGCACAGCCCTTGGTGGAATTTGTGTGGTCCTCCTTAGTCTGGTGAGGACGTGATGTCACCGGGTAAAAAGCTGGCTTCAAAATGTGAGGGAGGAGCCTGAACTGGAATGTAACCAAAAAAAAGAAAAATCTGAAACTCTGGTTAGCCAGGGCTTTATCTTTTCTTAGGATCTGCCCAGAAGGGATTCAGGTAATTGTTTCCTGGATGCATTAGCTGAGTGCATTTTGGCTGTGCAGTTCCATTCAGGTGGAGCTATTCAGATCCATCCTCTCTCAGTGCTCCAGAGCAGTAGGCAGCAGATTCCAGCTGATTCACCCCAAAACTCAGGGTGGTTTTGGAAGGACACTGATCACTGGTCCCCAGGGCAGGGGGGTGACTGCAGAAGTCTTAGACTCCTACTGAAAACTTTCAGTCTTTTTAGAGAAAGGGATTCTCTGTCAGCAAGTTAAGTCCTGCAGGCAGATGAAATCCCTGCAGTGTGCAAGTGTGAGCCATGCAAGGTGTTTGCACAAAGATGATGCTGCAGAGGATATCAGCAAATATTCACCTGACAGCAGATATTCTCCCTCTCTGCTCCCCTTTCTAGGGGAATCAGGGAGAAAAGAATTTACCCAGGGTTAAAAATCACAGTGAAGCTAAAATACAAACTCTGGCCTTTCCAGGGTTGTGCTTTTTTTCCCAGCTGCCTTTTGTTCACAGCACAATGCTGGCTAAAGAGCAGCACCTTCCACCCCAGCCCCTCGGTGGATATTATTGTCCAGCTGTCTGGAAAACAGGTATTAGGGACAGGAGGACTGGCAGGGGGATGAGGAGCTGACAAACAAGGGGATTAGTGTGTGTTTACAGGTTGCTGCCCTTGGGAGCCATCCCTGGAGGTTTTGTGTTCTGGGGAGTGTTAACCCCTCCTAATGAGGGATGCAAGCTCCACTGATCAGTGAATCCATGAGATGTTTGAAACTCTCTAGCACAGCCCTGTTCCCCAAATAGACTGTGTGGGCCTTTGTAAGTTGCTTTTATACCTGCATGAGATATTCAGGGGGATGTGGGGGATAACAGAAGCAGCTCTCAGGAGCTCTGTATTTCACCAGGAGGCAGCAGAGGTTTGCTCCAAACCAGCTGTGCCATTTAAAACAGCTCAGGCTCCCCTAAATGTGGCTGCTCCCACCTGGAGGCAGATTGTGCAGCGCCCAGAGACACCCCAAGAGTAAAACCAGCTCAGTGCCCAGAGCTGCAGGGGCTGGCTGAGGCCTCACACACTTGTGTGAGGTACAGGCTGTGTGTGTCACACACCATCCAGTGTGAGATTCCAGCTGAAGAACCAGCAGGGAGGGCTCACACATGTGTCTGAGGTCTCACACACAGGCTGTGTGTGTCACACACCATCCACCTGAGATCCCAGCTGACGAACCAGCAGATGTGAAACCTGGGCCGGGTTTCCTTGCTGCCATTGCAGCACCCTCCTCCTCTCAGCAGCTGGGGGATCTCAGTGTGGTGCCTCCCCTCTCACTGGGATGCCAGGGCAGCCTGCAGGGATGCAGGAGCAGCCTGTGAGCAGGGCTGGAAGGAAGGTGCAGGCTGTGCCTGGGGTAACACGAGAGGCTCAGCTATGAGGTAGCGTCTCAGGCAGTGTCAGGGTGTTTTATTAACCCAGAAATGTGATAGCTACTGTTGTCACACTGCAGTGTACAGAACAATCCATTCACAAACGAGAAAAGCAGATCCCTGCACAAATGCCTTTCCCCTGACTTCATGCAGTGCTGCAGCTGGGGTGCTGTGGGCTGACCCAGCGTGGTCACAGCAGCTCTGGGGCTGGAGGGGAGAGGTGCCAGCAGGGATCTGCTGTTCAGCTGCTGGGCTGCAGTTATATACAGCAATATATACTCCATTGATGATAAGAGGGCTGGTGAGATGAGAACAAGATGCAGTTGCATGTCATTTTGAGAATTATCTAAAATGCTGCAGAAAATCTCATTAATATGGACAAGAACTATCTGTCATGTTTTGCCATTGACAACAAGTTTGGTTACTTGTTTGGGGATTTCTTTTTTCATTTTTTGAAAGGGGCTAGTTTAAAGTAATTCATCAAACTCATCATTGTGTAAGGTAAAACAAATTCTGTGGTTTACAGAATACTGAAGTGGTGAAGAATTACCTTGGTTAGCTGCAGTTGTTCTGACTCCACAGTTCTGTGGTACCAGCTGTCACAGCTTTTAAACTCTGTTGAAAAATCAACCAAAATAAAATATACTGTTCACCAGCTTGCAGGCTTTCTGTTCTGCTCTCACCCGTAAGGCTCATGGAGAAAGGAGAGTTAAGGTGCAGGGGGAACTTCCCAATTTTTCTTTCTAATCTTAATGCTGAGACTGGGAAAGAAACCAGAGGAATAACATTTCTCACATTTTTGAGGCAGGGCCTCCCCCATTGGAACAATGAGGGATTTTGGAAGATAAGATCTCGAGCACATTCTTGATGCAGGCTGAGCTCCAAGTGTATATTCTGGTTAAATTTCCTGTGCACAGATTTCCTCATTACTGACACACATTATTCCTCAGCTCAGTCTGTTTGTTGCCTTCAGTATTTCAGCCCAGCTTCCCTGCACACCAAAGGCAGCTCAGAGCAAACTGGGAAAACACCAGCAGCACAGGCAGGACAGGCAGGACAGGCATCTCTGGAAATCTCCCTGGGACAGATCTTCTCCCCTGTAATTATGTGGGCACACACCTCCTGTCCAGAGCAGTGTTCTCACAGGGGGAAAGGCTGCCAAGTCTCTGCCTTATCATGCATACAGAGTAGAAAAAACTCAGTTTTCCTGGCTAAACCACAAGCTTCTCCATCTCTGTCTGCATAAGGAGTTCCACTCCGTGTAATTCAAGAGCTGTTGTGCCCTTAGATAACAGCAGATCTCACACACACTCTCTGTCTGTTCATATTTTGTGCAAGTGCTATGTGATACTTGTTGCTAACAATTAATTGACTAGACGTACAATACTAGCAAATTGTAAGATTTTATCTCCTTGACATTAAAGTAATCTTGCATTACATTATTTCAGTTTTTTTCCCACAACATTTACTCACTATTGTTTGGTTTTTTTCCATCTGTCTCCTAGGACTGTGACCAGATCCACATAGATGATGTCTCATCAGATGATAATGGTCAGGATCTAAGGTATGGGGTGTCCCAGGCTGGAAGCTGCAGGACAGGCAGGCAGTCCCAGCCATTTGGGAGTAGCAGGGGCTGGCCAGAGATACTCAGACCTGTGCTGTCTCCCCTCCTGGCTCCATGCTGTCTGCATTCATTGAGCACACACAAGTACAGAGTCCCCTCTCTCACATTGTTGTGTCTGTGCCTTCTCTCAGGCCCTGATTATGCTGAGATTTGGACCATTCTGGGAAATATATCTAAATTAAGTTGAGCTCCAGTCAGACCACACCAGTTTCATATATGATTTAACCAGACAATTGTCACAGCTGTCACCAAAATGCTTCAAAACCAGACTGAAAGGTTTCCCACTGTCCAATCTGTAGTGATGGGCTTAGTAGAGAGGAGTTGGACTTTCCCATGCCAGATCCTTGTTGAAACTTGTACCTAGACTGCACCAAACCTGTGTGAGTTGGGTCATCATGTTCACAGAAACTGCTTCTGTACAATTCCATCTGCTTTTCCCAAAGCGTTGCCTGCAGAGCAACAAAAGGAAAAGAATGAAATGTGCAGAGCTCATATTGAGCTTTGCAATTAGTGGTTTTATGGATGATTATTGTGAGAAATTGATGCAGGAACAGAACATTTTTTTAGATCTGCGCTGCTAATTGTGCTGAAGATGAACTTCAGTTCTGTACAGCGTGTCCTGTGTGCGCCTCTTGTCCCCACATTTCTTTTCAGCCCTTTCCCCTCCCTGCTGGCACTGTGCAAGCCGTAATTACACTGACCTCTCCCCTTGCCTCCTGCAGCACGTACAACTTCTCTGCAGATGGCTTCCACAGCTCCAGTGCCAGCGCCAGCCTGTGCCTGGGCTCGGGTGTGCACGGCGGCGTGGACTGGATGCGGAAATTGGCGTTCCGCTACCGCCGGGTCAAAGAGATGTACAACACCTACAAGAACAACGTGGGGGGTGAGTGCCACTGCCCGGCCCCAGCAGGCCTTTGCCCTCCCAAAAGCTGCAGGGCCATCTCTGGAGGAGGTGCAGGGGCCTCGGGATGTGAAGCTTCACGGTGACGGAGCAAGCGCCCCCGCAGTCACCCTGAAATGGGGATCTGTGCAGGGCTGTGGGAGCCACTAAAATACCTGGTTAGTGGCTTGAGAAAGACTCAGATCCCAGTGTGGGGGTTTGTTTTGTAATTTATTTGGCAGGAAAGCAACCTTCTCCAATTTTCCAGAATGTTTAGCAGGCAAGCAAACAGTTCAAAACGAAATATCTCCTTTTATTTCTACTCAGCATGTCTGATTGCTGCCTGAAGGCTTTCTTGTATTATAACTACTCGTTTTTAACTCCCCTAAAACAATACCAGAAATCAGGATTCCCTGGGTTCCTTCATCTCACCTAGTTCCAGACAGTTCTTCCAAGAGACTCTCAGCTTCCTTGTCAGTAAATCAGTGCAGGTTTCCCTCTAACTAGAAAAAGAAAGAAGTAAAACTCAAAGTATCGCCACAACTTATTTATTGGTTAGAGGACAAGTCTGCCCTGCAGGCACTGAAAATGAGGCATGGCTTTTCAGGACAAACAAAACCATCCTGGCCTCAGGTGTGTCTCTGCCCAGGTCACTGCCCACTTCACACAGCCCTTCATCTTCTTGCTCACTTCCCATGCAAGCTTTGTGCTCACTCCAAGAAAGGTGTTCCAGGGAGGTCCTGCTGTTGTGCTTGACTGAACCATCCCAGCAGAGGGGAAGGAAGCTGAGCTGCAGCAGCAGAGGATTGTGCAGCAGCTGAGCCTCAGAGCTCAGGTGACATGGCAGTGACAAAAGGAGGGCACCAGGGCCAAGAGAGGGGCACTGGGAGAGTTCAGAGCACAGGCAGGTGCCCTTTGGCATCCCCATGCAATTCCCTCTCTGTGCTTTCCCTGCTTGCAGGTTTGATAGGAGCTCCTAAGAGGGAGACCTGGCTGCAGCTGAGAGCAGAGCTGGAGGCTCTGACTGATCTCTGGCTCACCCATGCTCTGAAGGCCCTGAATTTGATACATTCCAGGTAAGAGCAGCTCCAGGAATTGCCTGTGGGTTTGATCCAGGAGCTCCTTTGCTTCTCTTGTTTTCCCCCTCTAAACAAACTGAGACACATTTGCAGGGCTTTGCTGGCCAAGCCTGTGGGAGGCCAGTCTGCACATTTGCCAGGCTGAGTTATCAAGGGTTGGGGTGAGCTTGGGATGGGGAACTGAGAAAAGCAAAACAATCCTTGTCTTTGCCTTTCCTTGGCTCCCTCAGCCACGGCTCCATTTCCAGGTTTACAAAAAAGGAGAGGGAACAGCCAGTCTGTCCCTGAACATGCTCACTCACAGAACCCAGCATGGACATCACTACATTGTGTTCCAATTCCCACCAAACACATCCTGGCAAGCTTGCAGTGAGGCTGCATCACTGGTGCTACTTTGGTTGATGTTTTTTTCATTCTACTGAGCTGATCAAAAGACATTTATGGTTCTCACATTATCTCCCTCTGGCTGCAAAATCCCCCATTGGCTCAGGAACTTCCAGTGGCAGGAAGGGTTTGCTTCCTACCACCTTTCAATCCAGGATGAAAGAAATAAACCCAGATTTCTAATAACTTCTGTTTCCTAGGCCCAACTGTGTGAATGTGTTGGTCACCACAACTCAGCTGATACCAGCTCTGGCTAAAGTGCTTCTCTATGGGCTGGGCACTGTCTTCCCCATTGAAAACATTTACAGTGCAACAAAAACAGGTAAGAACAAACTGACTGAGGCCTCACCTAAGGCAGGCTGAAGTTTTGTCCCTAAGTCATGCAATGAGTAGCTTTATTTTTAGCTCCCTACTTAGAGATGTCTAATTCACATCCTGACTCCCACACTTAACCTAGTACAGACTGCAGGGGGAAAAAAATTGTCTAAAAACACTTCTCAAGTGTCTCCAAGGGGAAGTGAGCCAGATATACAGAAATGTAGCCACCCTATGGAGCACTGGCTGCTTGTGGGATGGCCAGCTGCACCCAGCTGGAAGGTTGGACCTGTTACAGAAACACTTTTTGGATCCTTTTGCTCTTGCAGAGGGGTCAAGTGTGCTGAATGAGCTTTGTGAGTAATTTCTACTGGTAGGGTTGGCTTGGGGCTTCTTTGTGTTCTGTTCTTTCTGGTGTGTTTGAGCCTCTGGGATTGCATTTTCATGTTTTTACTGCAACCAGAATGAACAGAAGAGGGCTCTGGAGACTGAATGCCACCAGTGTCACATCATTCTGCCAGCTGGTGGCCTAAGCAGGGCACCACAGTCACAAAGCTCACAGAAACCTGGCAGCACTTGCAGGTCCTTGGCTGGCAAACAAGTGCCAGTGGCTGTCATGAGATGGAGAGGATCTGCCTCAAAAGAAGATCCAGTTTGAAAAGAAAGCAAAGAGTGCAGCAGCCAGTTCAGTTAGGAGATAACTCCAGATCCTGTGCTTGAATGTTAGCTCTGCCTGTGGTGTGTGTCCAGATAAAAAAGTGTATCTTCTCTTGTGTTGCCCAGGGAAAGAGAGCTGTTTTGAAAGAATAATGCAGAGGTTTGGAAGGAAAGCCGTGTACATTGTAATAGGAGATGGTGTTGAAGAGGAACAGGGAGCAAAAAAGGTAAAGTTTGTGGATGCCATGGTAGATTCTTCCAAGTTTTGATAGCAATAAGTCTTTATTTAAGAATACAATGAAGCTCCCTCCATTTGAAGCTTACCATTTCTTAATATGTAAAATACTCAACAATCACCTTGTCAGAAATTCCATACTCTAAATCCCCCCAGCTTTGGCAGCTGGTACAATATTTCAGGTAATTGCTGTGTCACATGTTCCAGGAATCATTCTTGCTTAATAAGGATGGCTGTAAAGACATGTAAAGGGAAATTCCAGCGTGTGACCTCAGATGAACAGGCAGAGTGAATTTCTGATCTACACATGCTGATTTGTAAATTCTAACTGGTTGGAATTAGTTTTGAATTACTTACTAGACTATGCCTATATCCATACATGTGCTTGTATTTCTGACTCATTGAAATTGAGAGTGTAACTTCATTATGGCAAATACCAAAGGGCTTGTACAGAGTTGCTGCCTTCATCAACAACTTCTGGATCAATGTGATTAATTTCACAAGCAAAATGAAATTAGAAAATTGTACTGAGTACAAAGAACATAAACTGCAAAAGCAGTGTGATCATGAATAATGAGAATTGGAACAGCCAAAGTTTTCATTTCCTAAACTTTAGAACAGAAACATGCCTGGAACTTTAATTTATTTGGCTATAGAGGGCCAGGAGTACCATTTGTTAATGGCAAACAATATTTGCAAGATGCCTTTGTGCATCCTGGCTCCTGTGCTCCTGTATATCCTGGCTCCTGTGTTCCTGAGGTGACTGGAGAAATGTGATGGAGCTGCCTTTGCTCCAGGAGCATTGCACATGAGTTGAGGTGCAGGAACTGGCTAAATGAGCTCAGTTAGTTTTTAACTAAAGTTAAAAAACTTTAGTTTTTTAACAGATACACAAATGCTGTAGCTCAGGTGATGTTGAAAATATTATATCAGAGGAGCTCAGCTGTAGAGCTGAACCTTGTGCTGGGGGACCTGGTGTCTCATTCTCACTGCAAAAAAGATTTTCCAAGCAAATTTGTGCCCTTTGGTTGTACAAGCCCAGGAACAAAGGGATCCCAGAAAATAAGGTGGGGTGCACATGTTCTATCCCCAGAACTGAATCTCAGGTTATCTTCAAAACAGCAGAAACCCAGGTTTTTTTATAGTGTGTTTTTCTGGCCAGTGGAAGCATCAGTATCTGCACCCACCGTGGAAAAACACCTAAAACTGCAGATGGTTGTGCAGCTCAGGAAGGGTGAAGGAGCTGTCAGGAAGAGCCCAAATGCAGGGCTGGGGCTGGAGTGACAATGGCCTGCTGCTCATGGCAGCTCAGTGCCACACTTCAAAGGCAGAGGGTCAGGGACAGGGGTGCATCAAAGGCTCCTTTCTGCAATTCCCTCTGCTGGGATTTCCAGGGCCTCCTGTCCCCTGGCCAAGCAGCTCAGCCATTAGCAGAGCACATTCTTTGCTGGGCTGTTGCCTCCTTTGATTGATGACATCGTTAATCAAACCTTCTGCACACCTGAGCTTTACACAGAAAAGACAAAAAAGGGAGGGGACAGGCAGAGAGCCTTTTGCTGCTCTGCTGACAGCACTGATAACATCTCCGGTTTCGTGGGTCATTTTTCTTCACCTGTCTGATGAGAGATAAATCTGTAACTGCTGAACAACAGGAGTGGCTGGGAGGCCAAGTTTTCTTCTGGTTTAAGAAAGAAAAACATAATTTAATGGAAGGGTTTTAATAGAAACTGGGAGAGGGGGAAGGAAATAAGTTTTCCCCTTAAAGTGAAATTGCAGAGCAGTGGATTTCAGTCTCTTTAGCTGCCTTGGTTTGCTTTGTTCCTACACTTATAGAAAATGCAGTATGACCTACTGTTCCAGTTAATTGGGAAAAGGAGTTGTTAGAGAGCATTTTGATTGTGTAGCATCTTATCCCTTTATTTACATTTTTATACATTTAAATTACTTCCCTTTCCAATAGATGGATTTAATTTGTCTGTGAATCACTGATAACAGCTTCCACTACTGATGCTGGCTTAAAACTGTTTCTAGTAACACTGCAATTCTAGAAACATTCCTAATTAATTTGTGGGGGGGGGGAAATAGGAGCAAAATTTAGCATCCAGCCCACATCCTCCATCACCTGTGAAGCAGGATTCTCCTCAATTGTGGAGAATGTGTCTTCCTGTCTGCACAGGAGAGACATCAACAGAGACAATTCCCACTTTGTGCCTCCCTAAGATGAGCCTCCTTGCCTCTGGCACTGTGACAAGTACAAAACTCTGTTCCTGAGGGTACAAGCTAAGGAAGTGGTTGTGATCTCAGTATTATACAAAATCAAAAAAAAAACCCCTTCACTCTCTTGGTTTCACTCTAGCACAACATGCCCTTCTGGAGGATCTCCTGTCACGCTGACCTGGAAGCTCTTCGGCACGCCTTGGAACTTGAATATTTGTAGCAGACCCCAACATCTGACACTGGGAGGGCTTCACTCAGACTCTGACATCGGTTCCAGCTATTCCTCAATATTTTTTAGTAAAAAAAAATCCCACAGCAACTGCAGATTTTCTTTGTTTTTGAAGGAGAACCCTTTGAGTGGAAGCCTTTAAGAACTTGCAGCCAAAGAATATTGTCCTCCTTCCTTTGGACAGAGGAAAATGCTCCCGATCAGTCCCTGGGATGCTGCAGTTGCTGGCTGAGGTGGAGGCACAAGAGCTCCAATGGCCTTTTTGCCATCAGCAAGGCAAATGCTACGAGTCTGGGTCTCCCTGTCAGCATCCTTGGTTTTCAGAGGGGAAGAAGGCACAGCAAGGAGTCTCTGCACAATCCATCACATCACACAGGACCTTCTGAAAATAGGAGTGAAACTGTTGATTTTTTTTCTTTTGGTTGTGTCTTTTTTTGTATTTTTTTAATTTATGAACTAATCTCATTACTCTGGTATTAAGCTCTGTACCTGTTTTTCATCTGGCTTTTGGGGGTTGGGAGGGGTGGGGAAAGTCTTACTGTTCTAAATTAATAGTTCATTTCTCCAGAACAAACTCTGGGGAGAATCATATTGTGTACATGAGTAGTAAGGACACATGGTACTGCTGGTAAGAACTGTGGCTGTGGTTTTGAACCTCACCAGGAGGGTACATGGACTGTGCCTGTGCCTACACGGTGCCTTATGCTGCCTTCTTGGGGCTGAGGAGGGGGGAAAGTACCTTGTGATGAGTGAAAGGCATTAAATAAAAACATGTTTACATTTTGGGGGACTGGAGTACCTGCCTTCTCTCCCAGCACGCTTGGATCTAAAGGTGGAATGTGTGCTCCATGTTTCAAGGCTGGCCTGGTATTGTTGCTGTCAGAATATTTAAATTCTCTGGGCCTGGGTGGATCCCTTAGTTTGAAAATGGCTGATTGTTCCTTGCTGTGGCACCAGGTAAGGTCAGAAGGAGCAAAGGCTCTCTGGAAGGAGGGGTCAGAGATGCAGGAAATGCTGCAGCCCTCACCTCTCAAAGGGTTACACAAACCTGAGGGATACTCCTGAGCTCTAAAAACATTTAGGGAAAACAGTGCTGGATCTGAGAGGGGATTTTCTGCCAAGATAAAGGAGAAAATCTGAAATTAATCCAAGGCAGCAGCCACACAGCAGCTGTGACACATCAGCCTCTCAGTACACACTGTGGGGCATTTGCAAAGAGCTGCTCTCTGGGCTCAGCACAACTCCATGCAAAATGTCACTTTTCTAGCACAGGCATTGCAGGTCTCAGGGCTGGCTGAGAACTTTTTCCTCAAGGTTTCCCTGCTGTAGGAATGGTTTCCTTCACTTGTGATATAACTTCCGATTTGTGTCAAAGTCAGTGGAGAATTGACTGATGTTTACAGGGTAAGTGCTCTGGGAAATAAACTTCTGAAAGAATGCCAGGGATTGCAGATTCCCAGAGCACAACTTCAGCTTTTAAGACCCCATTCATCAGCTAAGTGATCTTCCTTGAAATTCCAAATTTAACACCTGAATTAATCACTGACTCTGGGTTTTTTCTTAAGGAGTCTTGGAAGGTTTTGCTTTCAGAATATATTTAAAGGTTTGAAAGCTCTTGGTTTGGTTATTCTTAGCAGAGCTTTGGGTGGGACACACCAAGGGTCAGGAACACATCTGTCACACAGGTGTCACCACTTCCAGTCACTGTGCCACATTCATCTCTCAGAGTATCAGCATTTACTGTTCCAGGGAATTTATCATGGACAGAAGAGCAGACCTACAGCAGTTTTGCACTTAGGAACAGCCAGGAGGCCTGGGAACATGCACAAACACATGAACAGGTCTTGCCCAGTTCCTTCACCTGTAGTTTTATCTATTTCTACATACTTTACTAGGATTAAGTCACCTGTTATTTAGAGGAGGAAAGAAAACATTATCTTCTGTAGAAAAAAACAATACTCATTAATTAAAAAAAAACCCTCCACAGGCTGGAATAGGTGTCAGAAGCAGTGGGGTTTCCTACAACAACTTGTACATCACTTTCTTTTTCCTCTAACACAAGGCCTCGTTTCAGCATCCAAGTTCCATGGGGAAGGCCAAACCTCATTTCAGGCTTTCAAGTTTTGTGCTTTTCTGTAAACACTAGCACTGGGAACACGAACTGTGGCTGCTTTACAAATGCCCAGAACAAGGTAACTGCAGGGGCAGGAACTTCAGACAATATTCATAGCTTTTACAATGCTGCATAAGCTCCCTGTTTCTTTTAACTTGTAATTATGACACACATAGAGAAGTCTTGTCCAATTCATGCCCTTCTTGAGGGGCTGCAGTTGCACTCAGAGGCCCCATTTCTACCCACAAATACCCCTAACACTGACATGTATCTGTCCAACCCCAATCCAACCACTGAATAAATAATACACAACATAAATTGGACAGGCCTGGATCCAAAAGTCCCACACTTCTGAGACAGAAGATGCCAACATAGGTGGAATCACCTGTGATCTGGAGACTGTGCAGAAATAAACATTCCTCCAGATTGATCAAAACTGGAAATCCAGGAACACAGAACATTTTTCTAAAACAGTTTAATAAAATAATTGTGACGTTTCTTGAAAAATTGGAGAAACCCAAAGCATATTGTGTGTATCACCTGTCTTAGTCACAAAGAAACACAATTGTCAAAAAAGATATTTAAGTTTAATACAAATTTTATACAAAGAAAATGTGAAAAAATACTTCCATATGCTAAAAGCAATTATGCTTCACAAATAAGGCCAGCTAGGCTAGTTTTGACACAACTGCAATTAATGAATATTCTGTTCTCACTTTTTTTTTTTATTCTAATACTTTTTTTTCCCTCTAATCTGGGTACTAGCTGGAGACTGTACAAACCGCATTCTTATATAAACAATGGGAGAAATCAACATGACTAAAATGTACAACAGGATGTACTGGAATGATATCATACAGTTAATTTTCTCATATACATACATCACCTTTGCTTTGTTCAATGCTTTCGTTTTACACAACATACAAAATGGGACTACAGCCTCAGTGTAACAGACAGCATCTCCAGGGGGTACTTCCTCTCATACTGCACTGCTTCATGCTTACAGAAAAACAGAAATTCCATCATATAAATAATACATGCTCCGGCCCAGCATCAAAAGTCCTTTGCCCATGTTTCCCAATGCATGTTTTTCTCCACACCTAGTTCTTCTTCCAAGTCCTTTGGGAGGAGTTTTAAAAAATAAGAAAACGGTGAAGCATAGCAACAAACTTTACTTTCCTCAGTCTTCGATATCAGTAATCAGAAATCCTGCTACAACCAGCTGCTATTACACTTTGCAAATTTTCTGATCTTAGACTGAATGAAATTTTAAAGTAATTTTAACTTGTAAACAACATTACGATTTGTTGTCAGCCTGGTCATTGTGAAAAACAGTTTCCATTCTTACGGATTTCAGGTCCATAATTTGCCTAATAGTTAGTTGAAAAGAGAGATCCTTCATCACTTGGTTGTTCAGAAAAATTCCACAAGAGTTTCAAAGTGCAGAAATTTTTTTCACTCCAAATGCAAAAAGTTGTTCAGATTTTCTGTATCAGATTATTTGATGCAGTTTCCCAAGACCAGTTCTCAGCATAAGGTTGTGGTAAGGCTCTTTTAAACCTTCCTTTTCCAACTTCAAACACTCTTTATAAGTTAAAGTCAATACAAATATAAAAAGGAGATGGTACTCTAATGACATCACAAATTGTACATTATTTACAAAAGAAGCATAGATTTAATATGGATCTTACCTGTCCTTAGCTTTTCTAAGCCAGCACTAATGCTTTACATTAATGTAGTGTAATTAATGCTTTGTACACATACACAAAGCTAAAGTCTGAACCTCTGAGGTTAATCCAAAAAAACTGTGTTTATTTATCACATTTCTATTAGATTTTTTTTTATTCCAACAATTGTATGAACTTCTTGTTAGCAGTTAGACTCTTCATACTTGGACTGGCATTGTGGTCTGAACATACTGAACTCCAGTTCTCATTGCCACTGTCCCAGCAGAAGGACTTACCACTACAGGAATGGTCTGTGGATTAAAACCAAGAGAAACAGATTGTTATGTTAAAGGTCACATAAACATGACCACAGAAATAGAGATTTGTTTTCCAGGGGAAATCCAGAACAAGTTCCAATTTTGTGCAAGAACTAATAATACCTTTCTTACCACAGTATTACCTCATTCCAGGGGAGGAGTAGTGCATTACCTCCCTATAGCCAAGAGTTTCTGTGTTCTCATCACTGCTCTACAATTACAGGGACAGCAGGTGCTATAGGGGCTGGACACACTGCCTGTGCTTGGAGGGTGAGGGTTTCAGAGTTACATCCAGTTACGTATTTTCTGCAAACTAATACGTGGGAAGAGGAAAATGGGCTAAGAAAATCCTTTGTCATTTGAAAAAGTTCTGACAAATCAAACTGGAGTACAAAAATACCCTTGTTTATAAGTATATTCTCGTTACACGTTACTTAAATCTTTTTCCCCAAAAGGAACTTCCCCCCATGCATTCAGTCTACACAGAAGAGAACACAGAACATCCATTTGAACAAAAAAAAGTACTTAAGTTAACTTCTGCACAAATCAATAGCAAAAACATCAGCATTACTGGGAACTGTCTTATACACCCTGTAAAAATATTAATATAGAATAAACTTTACACTTCCATCATACTGATCATGATTTATACATCTCAACAAATGGAGTTTCAGGACATCTCTATAGGTGGTAATTGATTCTACAGATGCAGAGACAAAGGCACAAGAATGTTAAACAATCTGGTCAAGGTCACATCACTCTGGAGATCTGTAAGAGGATTTATTGAACCTAAAGTCTGTATCTTAACCTTCCTCCAAAAACGTGAGAAAGTCTAGAAATGTCTCTACCATACAAACTGCAAAGTGTGTTCCAACACAATTCCAGTGATGCACAACTGGTGATCAGACAAATGCATCCATTTCAGTTCACAACAGCTTGTGGAAGAAACAGGGAGTGAGATTTTGAGGAACCTGAAAGGGATGCACAGATCTTCCCCCAATGGCAGTGTGACATTCCATAGAGGACATGGAAGAACAAATACAAGTTCACTGAAGCCCAATCTTTCCCCACACTGATTCAAGAAACCACATGAGTGTCTTAATGATATTCCACAAAGACTCTGAGTATCCCTGCTGAGATGGATTACAGCTCCTTTGTGACTGAGTCTGTGCCTTCCAGAAGCCTACTCATTCCATTCCCTGGAATGCAAAGAAGATGGGTTCATATTTTTACATTATTTTAACTGCAGGAAGAATAAAAAACAAACACGGGACCAATTTGCTAAATAAATTCAAAATTACTGCCATTTTGTAATGATTTCAGATGTGTTTACAAGGTTCAGTGGAAATGGTACCCAGAAGATACAATGGAAGTTGTTCCTAGTTGGACACAAAGTGCAAACTGAATTCTAAAGAAGCCATTATGTAAGTCACTGTCAGTACTAGAGGTGGGGAAATTAAGGTTGCCACAGTTGCCTTTTAAATATACACACTTACACACATGGAATTAATTAATTTCAGTTCTTAGCACGATCGGAATATGGAATGTGCGAGACTCCTTAAATGTGTTAAGATCATTCCCTGAGAGGTAAATTTTCCACCTCTGCCAGTTTTACACATATGTACATTTTGCATACATATTAAACATGCACTAAGGTTTAAAATTATTTAAATTGCACGTGCAGTCATTAGAATACAGAGGTGTCTGTAGCTGTGCAAGACTAATGCAAATGTGTACAAAGTTATAAACATGCACAAATAAAGTTGGAAACCTTTCATACCTTCCAATTCTGCTTTACATAACTCAATACACTTTGTGTTACAGAAAACAGATGAGGGTAACTGCCATTTTTCTGAATATTACACAAAACCACCATAGGATCTTACAGCCTCACAGCTATTCACAAAAGAAGCCTGATGTCTTAGAAGTCTGCTATTGGATTTTAAAACACATACAAAACCTTATTGTTAATGGTAGTTCAGTCCAAGCAACTCAGGGCCAATGCTGCAAAAGTGCACAGTGGTCTCAGGTGAGACCAAGTGGAAGTGAAATGCTGTGAGGAATGTGGGAAGTCTCCATCCCCACCAGAGCTGTGTTTGTGTGGAATCTGATGGCTGTGAAGCATTGTTTGTGCATGAGTGTGTATCCACCAACACACACACAGGTGTGTCCTGCAGCTGGGGGTGTGCACAGGGAAAGAGAGAGACAGAGGAACATCTATAGCACATCAGGCCTCACAGTCACAGTGTGGGTAAGGTACACTGTTAAATCAGATGGTTTATAACAGTGTCTTTTAAGTCAGATATGAAGTTACCCACACATGGCTTCCCTGCTGAACCCAGCACAGAGGCAGAGCACGAGCTGTGACCAGGGCAGCATCAGCTCAGCAGCTGGCTCTGATATGAACACTGCAGAACACAACCAGCTGAAACAACGGGCTAATATGGTATATAAAATACAAAAATCCAACTCACTTTTGTCCCATCTACTGTGACTGACACTAGGGAATTCGGATGTCCTTGGTTAAGCCTTTGATGGAAAAAACCCAGGTCTGATTCCAATGCGATTTCTCGTTTCATAATGCTAATGTGCAAGACTGCATGGGAGAGACACTGCTGACAAATGCATATTCTTTTCCACAGGTACTGAGATGTCACAGGAATATCAAGCATAGCTCAGAAATAATTAAATCTCTAATTCTCTTTAGGATACCATAGACAAAACGATATTTAAAAGATATTTAAAATGAATTCTATATATTTACATTGATGTTGTGGTCAAGTATATACATGAAACAGACCAGTAATGTGAAATGGCCTCTGCCTGTCCTCAGTGCCTTTGCCAGACTTCAAGATTTCTGAATTCTTGCAATCACAAATGGAATGAAAGGTGGAATGTTGCACAGCAAAATAAAGCATTTTGCACTGCAAGTTGAGACTATACCAGTGAATTCATCTCTTGATACAACAGCAGACAGAGACAACCCCCCAGAGATACTGAGCAATTTTAATGCCAGGAACAGCATTGCTGCAGACTTTAAATGATGGTGCTGTACTTACAATTGTGGGTTGAGTAGTTGGAATATAGGTGGTGGTCTGCGGTACCTGGACCAGTTTTATAGGCTGGGTGCTTGTCACACCTGTTGCTATCTGCAGAGACAGCACAGGCAACCTCAGTAGAAGCCTCAGCTTGTACATAAATTCCACCTAGTTGTTACATTATTATTGTTATGATATGCAATTTATGTTGGATGTTTTCTTTGTGTTAAAAATTTGCATCTTAATGAATTCACAGGTTACTTCTTTGTTAATAAAACAAAATCCAGATTATGAACACGATATTGAATACAGCATGATGTTTCAGGTAGAACATCTATATAAAAACAATTCCATATCTGTGTAACTGTAATATTCCCTGGCAGGTTTTAGGTCTCACATTCCCTACTTCCCCAGTAATACAAAGCTTGTGCTGCCATAACAATGCATACAAACATTAAGTGAGTGAGCCCGAGTTTAACCAACTTCATCAAAACATTTAAGTGAAACAGCACCTCCTTTTTCCCCCTTCAAATCTGTTCCCCAAGTTACTCCCTTAGATGACATTTCAAGCCCAGAGATCTAACACCAGACAGTAGCAAAAGTGTCAAGAAATGAACACAGCTCTCTAAATTACTATGCTTCCCAATTCTACAGGACTATCTCGATGAGACATCATGCTGGAATCACAATACTACAAAATTAGTTTGCTTTTAATATTTTAAAATACAACAAGGCTCCTACTGATGTGGAGGATCACGTGTAAGGGTTTGAAGGATCAGCCCCATCCCCCCCCACTAAAATTT